TTTTTTTGGTTATATTTCTTATTAATTAAACATGTCTGCTTTAATAATTACTATTCATTAAATAAACCTCGAGTAGTACACTAAAAACAAAAACATGTTATAGAAAAGGCATTATTGTAACAGTATTTAATATATATAAAATAAATATAGCTCCGGGAAAATTATTAGTTTTTTATAAACTTTATTAAAATATATATTTTTTTTTTTTTGTAGTATTTTAAATCATTGTTTTTATGCATTACTGATAATCATTAAAATAATTTTTTTGTATTTTTTTTTTTTTTTTTTAAACATTTATTATATATATTTTTTTTGTTGTTCTTAATAATTTTAAACATAATAATTTCCTAATTTTAGGAATGGAACCATGAAATTTTTGTTTTGGGCATTTTCTTATCTACATGCACCACATTTTATTATATTTTTTTTTTCAATTAAAAATTAAAAAAAAAAAATTTTGGCTTTAATTATTTTTATCTAATTTTTTTAAGGTTAAGAATTTAATTTGGTAGTTAACATTTATGAGCAAAAACTTTATTTAAATTTTTTTTAACAGTAATATGTTCCATTTATTACAATATATATTTTATTTATATTATATATGTATATATGTATGCTTTTTTTTTTTTCTTCTTTTTTTTACATTTAATATAAATTTATGGTGTTATGTATATATAATTATCATAAATATAATTTAGTTCAAAAAAAAGGACCGTAAGTAAAAATGTTTTAATACTGTAAAATAAAAAAATATATTTAAAAAAAAGTACGCACAATAAACAAAGGAATATAATTTCTTTTTAGAACGAATATTATATAATCAATTCAAATTGTTAACCATTAACTTTTTACAAAAGGCGTATCAATTTCAAGAAAATTCACCACAAAAAAAGGAAAACATGAATAAATTTTTCGGTTTTATTTCAAAATCATTTGTACTTTCCCTTTTAATATGGAATAATTATGAATATGCCAATGAGGTATGAAAAAATAATTAAATTTTAGAATGCATATATGCTCTTTATTTTACATTACCCATGATAATTAAGTATGAAAATTTTGTGAACTGTGTTTTCTATGTAATCCCTCCATGTGTTTTAAATTTATTCTAATGTTTTTTCTTATTAATTATTATAGAATCATTTGGGGGAAGCAAGGAATAGCAAAGTGAACAGGAAGAATGCATTGGGTACACGTTGCAGTAGAGTATTAAAGGTAGATGGAGAAACACGTGCAGCACGTAACCGTGAATATTTAAGAGACCGAAGTATGGAATATAGGGATGAAGAAGAAGAAAATGGTCATATTGGAGATGCAGTAAAAACAATGTTAGACAATGAGGGATTTCTAAAAAATTTTAATAAATTAATGACTAATGACAAATTTACAAAGCAACTTGACGTACTAATGGATGATGAAAATTTTCAAAAGCAAATTGATGTATTTATGGGTGATGAAAAATTTCAAAAACAGTTTTCTTCTCTAGCACAAGGTACAAATGTAAAGAAAAATTCAGAAAACTTTCCGAGAAATAGGAATCCAGATTATACAGACGACGATACCAATAATTATAGGAAACGTTCAGATTATAGGGATGAAGAAATGCATGATCGTAGATATCGTGATGAGCGCGACGATCGTATGTATCAGAAACATCAAAATAATAAAAAGTACTATAATGAAGATTATGAAGATAATGAAAATTATGATGATTATGAAGACAACCATTATGAAATACGTTCAAATAATAGACCTCCATACGACAGAAATCCAGATAAATCATCAAATAGACCTCCATACGACAGAAATCCAGATAAATCATCAAATAGACCTCCATACGACAGAAAACCAGATAAATCATCAAATAGATATCCAGACCACAACGATTATCAAGGACCATCAAATAAGTATCCAAATGGCATGTATTTTGAAAAATCACAGGACCAAATGAATTTTGGTGGAGATGCAAAAAAATTTAACAATTCATTACAGAACAATGATAATCGTGGAAGAGGAAATGGTCCAAAATATTATGATGATGAAAATGATGAGAGACAATTTCACTCACCAAAACGTGGTGATGATCCTTATGGTAAAAATTTTGATCAACAAAAATTTGATAATCAAGGTAGACATTTTGATAAACAGAAATTTGATAATTACAACAAACAAGGTGGTCCCAACAGAATTAGTAATCAAGGTAAAAAGGAACCCATGGATGAAAAAAAAAATGTAGTTAGCAGTGGTGCTTCAAAGAAACCTAAAGGAAAAGTAGCAAAAATGGCGCACGCATTTAAAAATTTTGTAAAAAAATCAGATGCAATGTATGAAACTGAGTTGTTACATGTATTGATGAAGATCCGTGAAAGTCAGGAAGCAGGTGGAAAGCCTCTTGGATTGAAAGTAAAAGTATCTAACAAGATAACAACTTTCTCACCTGTTCTAGCAATTTCTGTTTTTTTTTTATTATTTGCTATTTTTCAAAACACGGGTGGTCTTATCGTATCCTCAATAACCCTTGTTTTAGCTGGAATATATGTCTATTACAAATACAACAAATGTAAACGTATGTGTAAAGTGTATGGAAAATCGAACGATCTTCATAAATTTTTAGAATATGAAAATCCTGAACTAGTTCCATATAAACCCACAACTCCTCCCCAAAGGAAATAATTTAAGTGAATAAACCAAGTATTTTATATCTAGGAGCAAACTTTTTTATATATTCTAAATATATATATATGTGTGTGTTAAAGTTATCTCTTTCATCTCGTTATATTAAAAAATGCTTTTAAATGTAGTTTTCCTTGTCACCTATTAAAAATAAATTATTTTTATTTTCTTTTTTTTTAATATTTACATAGAGTTTTAATTGTGTGTAAAAGTTTATATATAAACCTATTCTTCCTTTTATTTTTATAATCATTTTTTTTATTTTATTTTTTTAATGTAAATATTATGGCGTATATTTTTCTTCTTATATTTGTTTAGGTACTATAGGTATAATATACAATTTATGATATCTTTTTTATTTTATCTATGAAAGCATAATCATATATTATTATATATAATTTCATTTTTTTATTTAATGTAATTTTTTTATTCATATTTTTGTAAATTACATTTAAGGAAGCATATGCTAGTTATTAAAACATAATATGTATAGATATTATTAGTTTTGTTAATTATAATATAATTAAACAACTATTTTCCCAGTTAAAATTAAATATATGTATTTTTTTTTTTTTTTTTTTTCCTAATTTCGTTTTGATTATACAATAAATTATAAGTTTATAAGAATTAATTAATTTATTTTCTATTTATTTTATTGCTTATATTTTGTTCACTATTAATATAAGAGAAATTCTAAAAAACATTTTTACGCAAAATGCACTATTTTCTTATGTGAAATATCTTTAAGAGCAACCGTAAAATATGTTTTATTTATACTAGTGTTGTAAATGTCCACGTTTTTCTAGGCCCAAATGATAGTTGTTGCATATTTATATGGAAATAATGTATTATACATCATAAAAGCATATTTATATATTTTTTTTTTTTTTTTACTTCAGTGTATTAGAGCATCCATACTAAATGAATTGCACAAACATTGATAGTTTTACAAACTTTCCAGATATTTTACCAAAGGAAAAAAAATACACATATGTGAAAAAAAATTAAGCAAAATATATTTTATAGCAAAGACCATCCATATATACATCCCCTTGTATACTATATGTATAATTTATTTATTAATTTCTAAAGAGTTTCTATAAATTTTTCCCTTATTTTGTATACAAAACATTTATCAGGCTCTTTTTTATGTAGAATTATCTAACAATCATATTTTCAATTTAATACTATAAAAAAAAAAGAAAAAAGAAAAACTAAAAGTCTATACAAATACACATAATATATAACACATACGTTACAATAATAACACTTTATTGTAAGAAGAAAGCAAATTTTCTGCACAATATCCATGTTCTTAGATTAATGCTTTATTTTACATTATTACATAAAAAAAAAGAATGGTAATAAAAAGAAGAAAAGTACCACAATTAGTAGCATTGTTAAAAGTGAATACCATAATCACGAACCAACTTTGATGTATTAGAGAAGAAAAAGAGAAAAAAAAAATTATACTTGGTAATTGTGTAATTTCACTATATAAATATGAGCACAAAATGAGTTAGCAAAGTAATGTGTGCAAATATGATGTGGCAACGTTTTAACCACATAAGTAAATCGTTATTGTAGATCTACGCCAAGGTTAAAAATTATACCTTTCAGTGTGCGTCTACTAAAAATAAGAAAAATCATCATTATATTTTCATAATATCCATTATATATCACCTTTCCATCAACCATAATGCATTGCTTTCCCCTATTCATATAATTATAAACATATCATAAAAGATTAAAATTGCCACACAACATGAAACTATTTTTAAACTGATTATTTTTTATAAAAATGATACAATATATTTCATTTAGACGAAAATGAATTAAATTCTTCTTCTTTTTTTTTTTTTCCCTCCATCCCTTTATTTTAATCATATGCTATACAAAAATATATTATATTCGTTGCATCTCTTTAACTATAATTAATTTTGTACAACATGATAAATTTTTTTTACATTATTACATTATTACGTATTATGCCATAAAATGAAGTTAATACAGTGCTAAGGGGTTATAATACTTATAATATGAAATATTTTAAAACATATAATCATAAAATAAGTGTAGACCTGAATATTATTTGTTATGGTCTTATTTATTTAAGCATTATTAGACTTATACGTTCATGCATGTTTTCTACATAGTTATGTTCTATGTTATATGCCTGTTTGTACCTCTCTACCTCATTAGAACTTAAATTTTATTTTTTAGGGACGATTTAAGAAAATTCAGGATTTATTTTTACATGTTAATAATATAATAAAAATTCCTTACATAATCCCCCCCCCCCTTCTTCCCATCTGTTTTCTGACTCATGAATAATCGTTCTTAATATGAGTTTTTTTCCCCATAGGATATATCCTACTATTTAAATTTATTCAAACGTTTCACTCAACCGCATAAAAAAATATAGATATATGTAAATTATAAACATAAAAAATATTGTAAGAACAAACCTATTATATGTTCTTAATGTAATACTAATTTGAACGGTTGGACGTTTTCTAAAAATCCGTTCTTACAAAAGGAAGACATTAAAATAATATATTTTTCCTTTATTTATTTTATTTTTTTTTTAATTTATGATTTAATTATTTTTAAGGGGATAATTATTAAATAATATAAAAATGATAATATATATTTTTTGACAACGGTATATATAAAAAAAATAAATCAAAGCAAGTCCACTTTTTTTTTTTTCATCATTTTTTTGTTGCCCACAATGATTGACAAATAAATCTTGAATTTCTAATTTTTGCATGCTAATGTACATTCTCCTCTTTAAATTGTTTTTACTTAATTTTGTTATTATTCGTATTTTTTTTTTTTTTTTTTTTTATTAATGCCCCAATATCCTATTGAGAAGATATTTAAAAATTACAAGTTTCTTTTTGTTATTTTAATTATACAACAGAAATAATGTTGTTTAACAATGTCGTCGCAAAAAATACAATAATACAGCAAGTGCATTTATCTCCTTGGGAAATTATATAATAAAATATCATGGAAAAAAAAAAAAAAAGGGATGTACTCCTTTTTTTTGACAAAAATTAAAAATAAAAATGTATAATTATCATACCTAAATAAACAAGGGATGGAATATATTTTCCTATAAAAAGGGCGAAATCCCAGTTATTTTTCAATATTTTTTAATTTTATATATATATATATATATATATATATATATATATATATATATATATATATATATATGTATAATATATATAAATTCGTGCGTAATTATGTTTTAAAAGCTAATTATAATAAATGCATGAAATTCCTAGTTTATTTTTTATTACCCCTAATATTTCATATGTATCATAGCATTTATCATTATTTGTAAGGAAAATTTTGATTTAATAGAATATTAATTATATAATAACGCACTTGTAGATTCTGCCTAAAAATATAATTTGTTATAAAAATATTTATATATATACAATATCTATTTAGAAAGCTTTCTTCATAAATACAAATAATTATCCCACATATTATTAAAAAAAAAATATATGTATTATATACATTTATATAAGGATATAAAATCTTTAATGGTGGTCACTCCAATTATGAAATGTTTCAGATAGAATAAATACAAAAAAGCAACATTTATTCTAAGAAAACTATATCCGTATTATTATATACATTTATATATTTTTTTTAAACTGTTTATTTTTTACGAACAACGCATTATGATTTTTTAAAGTGATTCATTTCATACAATTTATTGAAACAGATATTGTTTGACAAAGGAAAAAAAAAAAAAAAAAAAAAAAAGTTTATACAAATTACCTATATATTTTTTTCAATAGAAAATAATTCCAGCAAAAATATAAAATTATTTTTATCCCATAATTTTATGTTCGAATAAAAGAGAAATGCTACAAGATATAATAATCATGCTAAACATTTAATTATGCCTAATCATTATTTATACAAAACCTATATCTTAGTATAAAATGCTTTTATTCTAATATAATATAAATTTTTATTTAATTTTTTTTCTTCCTTTTTTTTATTAATTATTTATATATATTATCCCACCGTTCTTATATTATTTTAATTTTTTTTTTTTTTTTTACGGCTTACAACAAGGGTAATTATAAATGTGAATAATTTTGGAACTTTACGCTGGTGTTCATTTTATAAGAGTTGTTTTCAAATTTGCACAAGTTAGTAGCACTTTTTTATTTTGAAAAAAAAAAGTGTATTTTTTTATGTTAATGAACCCAAAATATGGACGTAGACAATAGTACATTGGATGGAAGTTTAGCAGATAATAATTTTGGTGATGCTATTCTGGATGAAGCACAAATTGGTAAGGATATTTTTAATGCTGATGCACTAGACGGTGGGGACACAGTACTACAGTTTGATGGACTAGACACAGATGCAGCAGATTTTAATGCTCTAGAAAATGATGCAATGTACAATAATGAATTAGAAAACGGTATATTTGAAGATGTCCCTCTAGATGCAGATGCAGGAATTCTTGATGCACCAGAAACGGAGACATTCTTTAATGATGGATTAGAAAGCGATATGTTAGATAATCCTATGCCGACTGATGATATGGTATTAGATCCAACACTGGAGGAAGGAATTTTATCACAGGAATATGTTGACGATGGCATGATGAACCAAGGCATTGGGGAAGAGGGTATGTTACACGTAGACGAAAATTTTATAGATCGTGAAATACCAAACCAGGATTTTATGAATGAGGAAATCTTAGGTGAAGAAGTCATGGATCATGAAATGCTAGGTGATCAACCCTTAGATGATGGAATGCTAGGCGATCAACCCTTAGATGATGCAATGCTAGGCGATCAACCCTTAGATGATGCAATGCTAGGAGGAGAAATGCAAGTTGATGAAATCCAAGCAAATGAAATGCCAACTGAGGGAACAATAGATGGTGAATATGGGGCTGGTGAAATACCAGAAGACACATACGTAGCTGAACCAATTGAACCTGAAGAAATTGTAGATGCTCATTTGGAAGATATGAATGTGGAGAGTGTGGACCCAGAAACCAGCGACTATGGAGAGAACTATAATTTGGACGATGGTGTGGTAAATACAGAAACCTTAGAAAGTGCTGAAATGGATAACAGCAATGTTGTTGATGACAGTAGTAGTAGTGTACCTAGTACTAGTAGTGCATTAAGTGATAATGTACTAAGCAGAAGTGCATTCAGTAGAGATATACTAGATAGAGATTTTCTTGCTAAATTTGAAGATAACAATTTTTTTCAGAAATTAAAATCAAATTATATGAACATCTTCACACCCAGGGGTCTTATAACATTACTTCTTTCTATTTTAAGTATTGTCTTATTTACCATAACATGCGCACATTTTTTAAAGCAACTTACAACGGTAAGCTTAAATTTATATGCAAAAAATTAGGTTTAAAAAAAAAAAAAAAAATATAACTTTTTTTTTTTTTTCTTTAAATATACATGTTCTGTTCATATAAAGAAATATTTCCATCTTAAGAATTCTTTTATTGTTTTTTATTAATAATTTTTTTATTTCAAATTTTTTAATACATATATTTTTTATATCCTCTTTTTTTTTTTTTTTTTTTATTTTTAGAGCAGACAAAGTGTCGCAGTTAAAGAGGCACCATTTAACAAGGTAACCGATTTTTATAGCAACACTCCAGAGGGAATGGAAAGATGGAAACAAAATGAATGGAAAATATGGAAACAGAAATTAGATATCAACTGGTATGAGTTTAACGAGGCTGTAGAAAATGACAAACAAAAATGGCTCGCAAAAAAAGACAAAGAGTGGGAAGATTGGTTAAAATATATGGAAAAAAAATGGATGCATTATAATGAAAATATGGATACAGAATATAATTCAGATCTTTTTGAAAAATCTGCAGTGTGGGATGACGAACAATGGGAAGATTGGATAAGAACTGAAGGAGAACAATTCATGGAATTAGATTGGAGAAAATGGATGTATGAAAATAAATTCGTTATAGATGATTGGGCTACGAATGAATGGGCCAAATGGAAAAAAGAGAAAATCACATCGTGGCTACTAACGGACTGGAAAATTAATGAACAAAAATATTGGGAAGAGTGGGAAAGTAAGACGTGGCAAAAATGGATATTCTTAGATGACAGAGAAAATTGGAATAAATGGAAAGAAAGAATACAAAGAGAGTGGGAAGAGTGGGTAAACTGGGTGCAGGAGAAGGATGATATATTTTTAAATAATAAACGTAATGACTGGGCAAAATGGAATAATGATAGACGAGAATTGTTTAATGAATGGATGCAAAATTTTATTGAAGACTGGATAAATAAGAAACAATGGAAAGTGTGGAACACAGAACGATATAATTCACGTAAAAAAAACAAATCTTAACAGTAACACATGAAAGCTGGTTCTTAAAATTATTATGAATTAATTTGTGCATTATATATATATATATATATATATATATTTCACATTCAAATTATGAATCCCCTAATATCATTAACCAATGAAACTGTGAAAAAAATAAATAAATGAAATGTATGGTAAAAAAAAAAATAAATAAATAATAAAATGCAAATTTTTCAAAGGCTATATGTCACACAATTTGTAATATTGTTTTAACGAATATCTTAACTTCCATTTCAAATAAGATTTGTATATATTTCATAAGGATCAGACTTATGTAGTCTCAAATTTGTTTACCAGAAAAAAATGTAAATAACATAAATAAAAGTGTGAATTTGTAAAAATTATTAAAAGTGTTGTGTCTTTTAAAAATTAATTAGTTCCCCTCAAAATTGTGTGTATTTACATATGTATGTTATATATATGTGTATATGTATACCAATATAATTTGATATACTGCACTATTTTTTCATATGTTAATTTTTTAATGATGGAAAAGTGGTGTCGTATTTCCTACGTTTTTTAAATAGCAATCCATATATTTGACACTGTGTTCACTATTTAAATATGTGTTATATATATGCATGTATATTTAAATATGTTATATTTCTAATTTGTATTCATAAATAGTTTTTTATTTTATAGTTGTAATATATATGTATAACTATTTACTTAAAAAAATCCTAATGTTTTTTTTCATTGTCCATTTTTGATTTTTATTATTCACTCATTTTTCCCGTTTACTTTTTTTTTTTTTTTTTTTTTTTTTTAACATTTAAAATTTTTGCTATGGAAAGTAATCCAAGTACGATTTTTATTAATAAATATAATTACCTTATAAAAAATAATTTTATGCAATTGTTAGTTATAACAACATGGTTGTTATATAAAGTATCATTTTATAAATACTGTTTTTATTTCATTAGCTCTGCTAATAGCAGCCATATAAAAAAATATCATTGAATTTATAGATACATTAACTAGTTCTTATTCTTTTAATTTATCCCTCAACGGGTCTTAATATTATAACACAAAATATTACCACTATTTTAATACCAATAAATTTTAAAATATAAAAGTAAATTTATTATTCCTTTATATATGAATGTTGTAAAGATATTACCAATTTGTGCATATGTAATAAGTGTATTTATTATACTATTTTACTCCTTTCATCTCAATACCTTTTTTCTTCACCAGTACTGCTTTCTATTACTTTTCCCTTTTTTCTATATCACATATCGTGCTATTTTACCCAAAATGTCTTTGATGTTTATATTTATTATTCACAATTTTGTCTACAGTAAGAAAAATTATGAGAAAAATTGTTCCAATTCATAGATCTTCATATGTTAACAAAATTTTAACTCTTTTTAACAAAAAATTGTGTAAAAAAAAATATCAAAAGGGGAAAGAAAATTCCTTTTCATTTTAAACACGCACATGTATAAGTACAATAGGTTAGTTATATTTGTGCAACTTCACAAAAAGACGCAAACAAAATGTTGGGGAAAGAGACAACAGAAATTAGGAATTTTCCTTATATGTATAAAAATTAAAGAAAAAGAGTGAAAATATAAATATTGACTCGGAAATGTAAAATTATATTTTTTAAAAAAAGTTTAGTGTTAAACACACCCAAAAAAAAAGAATAGATGAAAAAAAAAAAAGGGCAACGAACTAAAAGTTAAGAACTGTAAAAAAAAAAAAAAAAAAAAAAAAAAAAATATATTCTGTTAAGAATAACTCACGACACAATAAAGTATTCAGTGAAAAAATTTCAAGAGGAATAATGCCTACTCAGTAGAAACTTAAAGTTGCATTTACATGAAGCATGTGTAATATATATACCAAGTTAAACAACTATATTTAATAATATTTTTAGAATAATAACTCTATAAAAAAAAAAAAAAAAGCAGATGATAATACTTTAAAATGGATGAATTAATGAAATACAAAAAAAAATGTTTCAATATATCTTTTTCTTCTGATAAATGATAAAAGTAAAAGAGAGATATACACATTTTTTATATAATGAATAAATAACCTCATTTGAATAAATCCTTTTAAAATAAGTGAAGAAATGCGAAATTAGCACGAAAACGAAACAAAAAAGATTAATCTATTTACATCCTATAAACCTTTGATTTGTACTAATATTGTAATTGCACAGTTTTAAGAGAAAATAAAGACCTACGTACAATTACTATGTAAAATACAAAAAGTATATCATTACCCACACATAATCCTCATGCTTAATCTCACTAATTTTATGACGTTTTTATTACTCATATAAATTTTTTCTCATACAAACAGATTATTTATGTAAAAATATAAAAAAAATGAAAAAATACTATTAACACATTTTCTTGCATCAAAAAAAAGGAAAAATTAATATTTATTATATCGATTTATGGGTTTCCAAAAAAAGAAATTTTTATTGTCAATTATTCTGCATCCTAATTGTACATACAAATAGACATTTATTTATTACTTCTTTGTCCTAATATTCATTATAAACATGTGAATATTAAATTGTGTTAAAAAAAAAAAAAAAATAACCACATATAATTTTCTTTGCACTTTATGTAAATTTCCTCTTTTCTTTCTCCTTTTAAAAAAAAATTTTCCAGCTATCATATTATCTTATTCAGAAGAAATACAACATTGCATTATTATTTCATTTTAATATAACAGAAAAAAAGTGCTTATTTTAATCCCTTTATACACTTGGCCAATTCTACAAATGTTGCTCTTTTAGTATTCTCTACCTTTATAGAGTAAAAAGAAAAAAGTTCATTCCATTTTCTAATTTAATGAGAGCTCCAATGATGTCATACATTCTACCATTTAATGCCATTTGTTTGCGCGTATTATTTGAAAACACACTCATTTTTTGAAATGTTAAATCTTAATGATTTTTAAATATGAATTAGTGCCAAATATTTTTTCACCTATAGAATTATTTCGTATCTAAACATAAGTATTAAAGACTTATGCTATATTATTGTAATATTGTAAAACATGTGTTAGTGCATTACTCTTGTAAAAATGGACCTTACACTTTTCTTAAAAACTGTGCACTAATATATGTGTGCTGGTTTTAACATTGATTTTTTTACCACTCATTTAGATTGTATGAAACTATAATTATTCCCTTGTTTTCTCTAAAATTTTAATTGTTGTAATAGCAATATAAATTATTATGTTAAAGAATTGCTTTTCTTAGATGACACGCGTTCTTGTTTTATTTTTGTATTTAATTTGCTTTATTCGTGTTAAACATACATATACATATATATGTAGATGTACGAGTAGATATAGGTGGAAAGGCATAAATGCACGTTTTAAATTTTTTCCATATTAATTTGCTTGTACTGCACTCTTTTTTTATCACATTTGAAGACCTTTGTACATTTATTAATTTCGTTTTAAATGAAAAATTGTGTTCTATATAATTTTTTTTTTTTTTTTTTTTTTTTTGTGTTTCACATAATTATCATTATACATAAATTATCCCCTCTGAACTTCGTAAAAATTTGTTACATAAAAAAATTTTGAAGAAATAGAGGTTTTAATGATAAAATATTTTTCTTTCAACTTTTATTCATTTAACATATTATGACACACATTATATTTTCCTTTTATAATTTTTAATAAATTATCATTCATGTGATTTTTATTGTGTAAGCGAGTATTCTATTTGTGTCTGCATATGTGTATATATGCGTATATTATATATATGTTTGTATATATGTGAAAATGTTACTTTATGTTTTATGTCTCTTCGTGAATTTCATTTCCTTCCATGCAATAATTTATTTTTACACACCTATACGCATGGGGAATATTATTATTACGTGTTACACTTATATCTTTTTTTTTTTTTTTTTTTTGCTAGATTTGTGGATTGTATAAAATTAACACATGTAAAAACATATAAATATATGTACATATTTCTTATAATAAAATTCCTACTATTTTTTTTAGCCACTCCTTGACATTGTAACTATATTATTTTAACCTAAAAAAGAATTAAGTTTGAATCATACTATGCCCTTCGACAATTCTTTTCTAATCTTTTTATTGTTATTTTTTAAATAGATAATAAATTCAATATGTAATCCATATTTTTTTAATATTCTCAGGCTCTTGTATATTTTTATATATATTTGATTTGTATAACACTTTTAAACCATTTTTCATAAATTATAAATCCTGAAATTCCTAAGTTATAACACTTAAAATGCCATTTTATATTTACACATAAGCATTCGTATACTTTAGAATTATTTTTCTTCACCCTACTTTAGTTTATTATTCATAATAATTTAAAAACAATGATAATAAGTTTTCTAACAATGTGATAACAGTTCTTTAATCTATTTTTTTTTTTTTTTTTAATTTTTTCATTTAAAAAGTTATAAAAATAATAAAAGAATTTATTAATTCTAGTACTATTCTTCTCTTTTTGCATTACTCTAGTGTATCTCCCATTCTAACGAATTATAACTCTGTAAAATAAAAATTTTATGATTTTTGATAAAAACATAAAATCCAGTATGATGTATTATTAAGTGTATTTTATTTTATTTTTTCTTTTTTATTGTTATACACTAAAATTTTGATATAGTGTTTTATTTGTACTCTCAAAAATTTTAACTAGGTTTTGCTTGTATTTTAATCAAATTCATTATGATGAATAAAAAATCTAAATTAATTTACAATATGGATAATTCGTTAAACTCTAAAAATAAGAGAAAAAAAAAATATTTAATTACGGAACCTAGGGAAAATACAAAAAGAGACCCAACGAGAACCAGGATAAAGCTGCTGCATACTTATCTAAAAGTTTTCAGCTTTACCCTTTTGATATACCTATTGCATAATTTTAATTGTGTAAGATTGATAATATTTATAATATAAAAAAGAAAAGAAAATGCTTCTTTTTTTTTTTTCTATAACCTTGTAATTTCCATTTGTGAGACAAAAAATATTTCATTAAAAGGTAGAAAATAAATATGGCATATCACGAAAACAAAAACATGTTTATTGCATCTTCCTTTTTCAGGACGTGAATAATAACACTAGAGGTTATCAACACAATTCTGAAACAAGAAAAGATATTACAAATGGAAGACAATTAACTACTCATATTCATAATCATTGTGGTGAAACCCCATTATTAGGTGGTTGTGAATTAAGGAATAGTACTTCTATTAATAAATATAAACGTGAATGTGGGTGGGATTTTCCATTTGATCGATGTAGAAGTAGCTTTGGTAGAATGCACCATCACAACACACTACTTCCGAATGCTACCTGTACAACAACTGTACACACAACAAATACAAATTGTTTAAATGGAGTACCATATGGTATTGCTCCTCCATGTGGAACCCAATATAATTACACTCAAACACACCATCATCATCACACTCCATACATTGCACCACCAGTGTGCGAACCAAATTATTCTATGGCTATGGCAGTAATAGATGATACTATTCATAGTGCATTATCCGTTAACCCTGCACCTTGTGGTAGATTTGGCTTTGGTGGTTGTGGTGGATTCAGGACACGATATATAAACCCACTTTTAACGTCATTTTATAGATTGCCAATATATGCTAGAGGAGGTATATCTCTTTTATTACTCCTGATTCCAATAGCTGTTGCTTTAATCTTTATTTTTATAGTAATGGGTTAATCATACAAATCCTTAACTTTGTTATTGTGTATATAAATGAGAAAAATGAAAAAAAAAAAAAAAAAAAGTGTGTAGTACTTTATGAATCACAAGGTATGCTAAATTAGAATTGAGCATTATACTTAAACAGGATTAATATCATATAATATAATAAAATTCCCAAAAAATGAAAAACACATAAAAAATTTAATTTAAAAAATATAATATTGCATGTACCTACTTATATTTACAGAATTGATTGCTAAAACGTATATGTAATATGTAATGTTTTTAAACTTCTTATAATTTCAGTGTTTTAATCAGATTTTTTCTTAACATATGAATATTTTTGAACTTTATTTTTTTTTTTTTTTTTTTTTTTCATATGATGATATATTTTTAATTTGTTTTCTTAAGAAGTATATATTTATTTGAACATTAATCACAAATATAAAAAAAGTAAAATTAAATGTGTAAAAGTTTCACATTATTTTCTTCATATCTTATAAAATTATTCATATTACAAAAATTAGAACATTGTTATGAGAATAAATACAAAGAGGTGTGTATAAATGATTCATTTTTATCTTATTTGTATTCAATCATATGTTCATTAGGAAAAAAAAATAAAACAAACATAATCAAAAAAAATATGTAGAAGGACCCAATTAAGCATAAATGTATATGTTTTTTATCAGGACAAAATGATTCCTAGAGGAGAAGCTAAAAAATAATAATTTTTGTGTTATTTGTTAATTGAAATTTCAATATATCTATATATTTTTAAAGAATTTCTTATTTTCATTATATGGAAGGAGGGAGTAATTTCATTGATGCAATTCTATTTTTCTTCACTTGATCTACGTAGTTAAAAAAAGAAAATTTGGGGAAAGTAAAATATTTAAATACAGAATTTACAAACAAATAGGAAAATTATTTCAAAATATGAGTGTTCTTTATTTACTAAAATGTAATTTATAAAAATATTTTTATTCATACGTCTAAGGAAGAATAAATTGTGTACACTAAGGCACACTTTATATATATATATATATATATATATTAAAAAATGTAAGAACTATTAACAAAGAATAATTTATATATTTTTACTTTATTTTTTCTGAACAGGAATGTCATTTTTACAAAAATACATATATATAGAAATATGTACACCCCTTATCAATGATTAACTATAATCTTCGTGCAGAATTTTTTGTATCAATGTACTAAAAATGCTGTAATAAATTTCTTAAATGGATCTGAAACGTTACTATGATATATATTATGTCTTAATTTATCAAAAAAATAGAAATGTACGAATTAATAGAACCAATACTGAAATATGAATGAGAAAAAAATACATACGTAAATATTTTGTTACGATGCGAAATGTTTCATTACTAACTCCACATGCTATAAATATTCCTTTTACATTTTAAAATAAACTCATAAATTACTGTACCTAACCGTACACTTTTTAGTAACATTTTATTTTAAAATGTTTAAATAATAAACTAGGACATGTATTTTAATGGAACAACAAAATAAAAACTGCAAATTTAAAGTCGGGTCATCTTTTATTCTTATGCAACGGTAATATATATATATGCTTCTATGTATAAATGTATCTATGAATGAGAACAGTTTGGGGAACCTAGTATATATGACAAATACCACATAAGTATACCTTCAGTAGTAACAGCATTACATCATAGGAGCTGTCTCTTTTTCAAAAAAAAGAGTTGCAAGCATTAAGCAGCTTAATATATTTAGGGAGGCATAAATGTTTAATTTAAAAATCATTACTACGTATCACTGTATTGTATGTTTCGAATTTAAGTATTCTTATATGCTTATCTAACCATTGTAATAGTGTTATAACACAGTCGTCACTTTTGTTAATTATGCATAACTACATCAGTTGTGATAAGGATATAATAACACAAATATATATGAAATACAAAAAGTTGTAAAGCATAAAATTTTTAAAACCTAAGACATTGTACGTAAATAATTATTTATACTTATATTTATTTACCCATTAAGTAATAGTTCATACATAGTCCTAAGTATTAGTGTTATGGAAGACATACATTATGAAACAATTATGGAAAAAATTATATCTGCTTTTGTAATATCTAGTTAATTTTATGTACTATAATATAGTCCCAAAAATCACGTTTCCAGTGAAACATAAGAAAAAAAAAAAACATTAAAGTGCATATAAATTTACTCATTTTTTTTTTTTCTTTTTTTGTTAAATAATAATAAATTAATCTACTATAAATCAAGACTCAAAACGAAGCTATGTATTGTAGAACTCAAAACATTAGTATGATAGCGCATTGTTTTTGCTACGTCTCTAAACACCTATGCATGTATATTCATGCACATACAAATGAGACAACTAAAATAGTGTTTACTCCTTCCTCCCTGTAACAAAAATATATTATGATGCTTATGTATCATTTTATGTGTAATTACATTCAAGCTATAGATATAACATAGTTTATCAAAAGTTTTGTGAATATAATGCATAAAAAAAATCATAACAGACACATTTGTTATATGAATCATAAAAAAAAAAAAAAAAAAAAAAGAACAAAAATGTTAGCAAAATCTTTTGCTTCTATATGTGCAAAGGATAGCTGCAACAAATACTTCCACATTTTCCTGTAATACAGAAAGCAGGTTATTACTACTTTTGTTACGTCTCATTATTCATTAATAAGAAAAAAATAAAATTATGTGTCCTCCATAAAAGTATAAATTTTCAAAAGAAATAAACCATAAAAATGTAAGTTCTTGTGGAGGCTTTTATTTAAATCTTTATTTTAGTAGTAGTTCCTCACATATATGCCTATATAAAGAATAACAACAGGAAACTTTTTTTTCCACTTCACTAGGAAAAAAACAACATATATTTCATTCCAATGCAAAAATTAACATTTAAATAATTTTGTTCATTAATATGTCTTAGTTTATGCTTTACCAAAATAATATTGTAACCTGTCTAAATTATTAAAAATCACTGATGTGTTTTTTTTCAAACTAATTTCCTTTTATCATGACTCAAAATAAATACATTGGAATGTTCAGAATGTTAGTAAGAATGTTTTTTCAATACATTTCCGGGTTTCATTATAAATTTTATTATTAGCACATTTTACAATGGCTTATAATGTGCATCCATAAATAGTAAATTTTTTTTTTTTTTTTTTTTTTCTGGTGCGTTAAAAAAAAACGCATAACTTCTTTGGGCTCTCCACAGAATAAATAAAATAAAAGCGTTTGTATATCCACATATGGAATAGCAGAAAAAATTTCGACACTATTTTAATTTTAACTTCCATCATATGTAACTTTTTCACAAAAAAAAAGAAGAAAAAAAAATTTCTGTGCATGCTTGGAATCTCATACTTTGGTAATAAAAAGTAAGAAGAGAAAAGAAGCTCTAAAAATTAAGACTTATATATTTTTTTTCATCTTGTTTTGCTCTATTAATAATTGATTTCCCTTTTTTTACAATAAATTTAAATGATAGCCTTACGTTCTATAATCATTAAAAAGCATTTTAACTAATCTCTTTTTGTGATTTAGTTTATGTTACAAAAATGCAATTGAAAATTTTAAAATAATAAATAAAAAACATCTTTAAAATAAACAAAAAAAAAAACGATATTATTGATACAGAATTTTGAAGCATGTGAAAAAATCACATCAAAGAACAAAATAAAATGTATTTTCGAAAACCTATATATAGAAGTTAACTAATTACGATAATTTTAATGTACAAAAATTGGCTTTTACCATTTTTTTACATGGATTATAACAAAATAAAATATAGAATAACTTTTTTAAAAGAAAGAACTGCATAAATATTACCTCATTATATTTTACTTTTTAGATATAAGACAAGACAAAAAATAGTTTTAAAATTGTTCTAAAAAAGGCGTAAAAATATATAAAAACATTAAAAACATATACAATACAACTGTTTAGATTTCTTTCATCCGTTTTTGTATATCCTTTTTCATATTTTTTTTTTCTCATTTCAAAATTATAAAATGGTGTCTGCTAATTCATGTTCTTTGCAAGGAGAGCTTTCCACATAAACATAGAATCAATCATACATTATCACCTTTCGGTAAAATGTGATTAATTTATAAATGCATATGGTTCAAGAAAAAAAAAATTCAACTTTGAGAAATTGACTTGATATATATTTTAATTTGTTAAATTTTTATATTTGTATTCCTAACAATTAACTTGGAAAAAATGTAAAAAAAAAAAAAAAAGAGTAAAAAAGAATAAGAAGGTTAATAAATATTGACGTAATATTCTGAAAAACATTCTTTTTATACAACCACGATTATTACTTATTATAATGTATTTTTATTTATATGCATTTACGCGTGTTATGTGTTACTTATTTACATACAAAATAAAGTTGAAAATATAATAATTCACGTCTTAATCTTACATTTTCTACGAAATAATTTTAATAAGTTTCAAAAAGTATTACCACAATCTGTGTTTTCACCCTCTTCATAATATTACTAATAATACTTTCTTTCTTTTTTTTCAATTTGATTTAATTTTTTAATTATAAAATGTAATGGATTGGTACTTTTTTACAATTTAATTATATGACAGACTAGTCTTTTTTTTTTTCTTTTTTTTAATAGCAATTTTTAGAACAAAAAAAAAAATATATGTATTTAATTGAAACCATTCATTTTGATCATATTTACAATTTATAAATTGTATATTCTTTTTCTGACGACAGCAAAAGGTTACATATATATATAGTGAGATATATCTATATATTTATTCCAAATAAACCCGAAATAATATATTGCTCTAGTGCAACTAATTAGAATTAATTAAAATGCATAGCTTTATATACTTAACTAAATACCAAATAAAATTCTCGATATCACATATACACTGTCAGAAAAATAGAATAAAAAATTCGAATATGAGCGACTTGTTACAATATTCTAAACTTGGATTGTAAAGGCAGGAATTAAACTAATGGAATGAAAAAAAAAAAAAAAAAAAAAAAAGTTTTCATAAATTTTAGTATGCTTCTCAATAGTGAATTTTTATTGTAGTAAAAGCCGCAAGTATGAGGAGAGTTTTCGTTTTTATGAATATTGTGCTCCTGTCCCATATATTCTTGCATGATCATTCTTTCATCTGGTAAGTGATGTATAATTATTATTATTTTTTTCCTCTTTCTTATATATGGTCTCCCCATGTTCATATATATGTTTACATCATATAAATATAAATACATGTTTTTAGAATTGTTATTTTATTTTTTAATTAGTAAATGGTTAAAGACACATAATAATTACAAAATAATGTTATATAACTCACCCTTTTAATTTACAGGAGCAATAGGAAATATGATAACAATGCAAATTCAGTCCCAAATGAATTAATTCTAAGGACCGAAAGGATAATAGCTGAAAATGAGACACCAAATTTACTGGGAGATGATTTTTTTACATTTGAACATGAAAAGGATGAAAAACTCCAAAAAGATGATTCACCATACTTGAAAGTTTATAATGATATAAATGAACTAAATAAATTAAGTGTAAGTTCAACCAAATTGTGGAGAAACTTAATTCAAAATATGAAAGAAGATTATGATAAGAGAACAAATAAAATGGATGATAAATGGAAAAATTTTATGTGGAATATGATATGGGAAAAGCATTATTTACAAAATGTACATCGTCTCATTAACAAAGCTCTGCAAGACTTAAATAACCCTGTAACTAAAAAAGAAGAAATAATTAATCAGTGGTTCCAATGGACGGAAGAAGGTTTAGAAATTTACCTCAAATGTATTAACGATCTATGGAATAATGTAGTTTCAAATAAACTTGCAAAAAATATGAACAATCAACAAGCCATAAGTGACATTACAGAAGTATTAAAAAAACAGTTGCATTCTAAAGAAAATGAAAACGAAACATGAAGACAATAAATCTCCATCAAATGAATAAATTAGAATTATATAAATAATTCTCAAGAGATCAAATATAATTCACGAATCCGAAAATGTGTTATCGTTAATAATGCAAAAAAAAAAAAAAAGTAAAAATAATAAAAGACATATAAGTAACATTGCAGAGAATATATTTTTGTTTTCCCCATACATGTAACAATTTATGTATTTATTTATCTTGAAACCTTTATCATATGCTCTTGCCTGCAAAAGGTGTAATTGATCCATTTTTAAGTAGTAGATGTGAATAAATCTTACAAAATAAACAAACCATGTGCGAAGAAAAAATTAGACAATAAACAAAATACGAATAGGGATATAATTGTACACCTGTTTTAAAAAAAAAAAAAAAAAAAAAATCATATACAATCATTTATCTAAATTCATTAAAAGTTTTTTAAAGCTGCTTCAAGCATCTTTGCTCATATTTTCCATATATGTACAAGCGAAAAAGTGCAAAACTGGATAAGTAAATACATACTAATCATTTTTGATATATTTGCATTCCCCTTTATTTTCTGATAAGAAGCAAAATTCGAAAAAATGTACAAGTCTGTGATTAGACAAAAGTCCACATTAAAGAAAAAATAAAAATAATAATAAGTGTTATAATTTGTCCTAAATAAACTACGTACAACCAAAACACACGTGTTTTCGAAGTAAAATAGATATAAATAAACAGAGTGGATGAAATCCAGATAAATTTAATGTATGGAATTTTTTTTTTTATAGAATAAATTTGAAATGTTAAAAGCGTTGGTGGATAGTCTGAAAAAAAGTAACAGAAAATGCTTAGTGAAACAAAATAGTTATTACTAATCTTTTTATTAAATAATTTATATATATATATATTTTTTTTTTTTGTTATTTTTATACCCTTTTATTTATTATTGAATAATATGATTAAAATATAAATAACACTACAAGCACGTTGTGTGGAATTAACTATGCTACACCCAGCACACAATTTTACCCATATACCTATTATTGTAATTTCATATGAAGTGAATTTTTCGATTTTTTTTTTTTCGTAATTTATATTTATACAAAGCGCAATTTTTGTGTTTGTAATTCGTCTCTATATTATGTGATTTTTTCTCATGTAAAATATGACATGTGCATGTGGTGACCACATTTTATGACTTTATTGATTATTCACAAAAACATAATAATCAGATATAACTCATTTTTTTGTGAAAATTTATATACCTCTGTTATATTTTTTTCAAATATTATGAGGAATATATATATGTAGAACACAGTTACTTTTGCACCCCACTCTTACTAGCAATTTTTGCATTTGTCATTCCTTTTTTATCATATTATTTTTCATTAGAAGATATGAACTTTTCCCATGAATACTTGTTCAAAAAAAAGAAACTTAATCCTTCTAAAGAATTTACATTTTTGTCGATTTATATATCTGCCCATTTTAGTCAAAAGTTCGTACACTTATAAATGACACAACATGTATATTTATGTGCGTTTTAAAAAGTGATAAGTTTTTCTTATTCTCTTTTAATTTTTAAGACTTTAAGAATTAAGCATGCCCTCCTTAAGAACAATGCAAATTTAATTTGTGAAACAAGGTGTAACAATGATAGACCGCTTTTACAGTAAAATCAAATGGAAAATAAAATTTCAAAAAGCATATCCATATAAATAGTGCTGGATAATGTACAATTAAAATATATTCAATCATTAATATGCTTATGATCATACGTAATGAAATTATCAATTAAACTTTTTTTAAAATAAATACTTCAATTATATTTCTCTTTTTCTTTTTTTTTTTTTTTTTTTTCATGATTTGCTACATATACTTTTTGCGCTCGACCTCATATCTCCTTACACACAATTCTAAAAGAATAAAAATATTGCTCATGTATTTTGTACAAAAATTATGCAGTTCAATAGTCAACAACAAATTATTGCTAGATCCATAATTATTTTTAATTCAATTATAAGAACAAAAATTTATAACTCTACTTATTAATTTTGAAAGAAACCCCAAAAAATAACCACAAATAGAGAGGATATATATAAAATTATATTAAATGTGTAACAAATTATAATATCTTAGCATTAATCCATGGGAGACAATCCCCACTTCCATTTTACTAAGCAAGTAGGGCGGTACTTTATTTATTTTCATAAGATAAACTCCAAAACATGCATTGTTACTTAATCTGGAAAAAGAAAAATCCAAATTCTTTATAGTAATAAAAACTAAACCTTTTTGTTTAGAGACATATATAAAATTCAAATTTGGGGTTTCTTTTTTTATACTCATATTTGTAAGGAAAAAAAAAAAGGCCCCTTCGTCTGGTTTTTATATATTATAGGACAAGCTGACGAATTCGCAAATATAACTGTGTCTATATATATATGTTATATATATATTTTTATGTATGTGTGCACAACCCGGGTAATATATGCATATTAACAAATTCAAAAAATAAAAAAATAAAGTTTTCTTTTTCTATGTAAAATGGAAGAAGTGCATAGATATTTATACTACCAATTATTAAACACGTCTTGCAGTTTGCATAACCAAAATGTATCATATATACCTTCTTTTCTTTGCCTTATACTAGATACTTTTCATAAATTATATATTAACCATAAAATTCTTTAAAAATCTATTATGTACTATAGCTTAATTAATATATATAAAATAGGTCAAAGAAAAAAAGCAGGCACCACCTTTATTTTTCAAATATAATGAAAACTTTTATACGCTATATTTTGAAGTATTTTTATAAAAAAAAAAAAAAAACTTATATATAATCTTTTTTTTTTTTTTTTTTTTGGAAAAATTTATATATATTTTCAAATCACAAATATTTTTCTTTAATTATTTCTCCTTTAACACACTTAAAAGTTCTATTTCTCATAACTAATTGGTTAAGAAATGTCTCTGTTGAAAAAAAACTCGGTAAAATTGTTTCGTAATTATTACAATACATCAGAAAAAAAAAAAAAAAAGAAAAAAGTATATAATATAATATAATATAAAACAGTAACAGCATGCATCATTATACGGATAAGTAAATATTTAAAGAATTTTTTTTTCCATTTGTGATTATTCATAAACTTAAAAGGAAAAACGACCATTTTATATATATATATATTGTACACATGTTTAATGGTGCCTATATATTTATATCATAAAATCAATATAGCTTACATTTTCTGTGAAACATAAATATTATAATCTATTTTTCAGGAAAAACGTTTGTTTAAAAAAATAATTTCAAGTCATTCCTTTCTCTAATATATATCTCAGATAATTTCAAAATAAAAAATACGTTGTGAAATATTTCAAATTATATATGCTGCTTCAAGCAAATAACAAAAACGGGAAAGGACAAACAAACATTAACATGAAAATTCAAAGGCGGTTGTGGTTGTGTGGGTATCAAAAACTAGCATAAATGCACATAAAATTACTCTGCATAAAACACCCATTCATAGTGGGGTAAATTCAAAAACATAAAAATATGGGCATGTCTAATATTTGAAAATTTTTCACAACTTTAATCTATGGTTTATTTCTTTTAATTAATCAAAATCTGCAGATATAAAAATTGATAATCTTTACTCGTTTTTTATGGAACCTTTTTTCTTCCCCTAGTATTTTTTCCAATTTTATGTTATGTATCTCGTAGACATCAAAAAGATCTATAATTCTGCAATCATATGTTTTCTAAAATTCATTTAATGATCATGTACATCTTCTACTGCTTCTGCTGCTGCTTCGGCTGCCTTTGCTGCTTCTTCTGCTAATCTTTTAGCTCTTTGACATGGGCATTCACCTGTATTTGCTGTGGCATTACCAACAGCATGATGTGCACCTTTGTTCTTGCAAGTGCATCCTGCATGGCCATGGTGGTGGTCGTGTCCTTCTCCAGTTAAATAGTGTACTGGAATCATTCTTACCTACAATAAAAAAAGAAAGAAAAAAAAAAAAAAAAAAGGGAAATATATTAATATATATGGATTGTCTCATATAAATATACATTCCGTGTGTCATAAGAAATGCATATTCAAATAATAATGAGCAGTTGAACAACTTTTCTCCCCCTTATTATTAAAGCACAAAATGAATGCTTTTCTCTCATCTGAACAGATGTATAAAAAAAAGGAACGCATAATTTTTATTAAATACTAAGAAAAAACATACCAAGTTCGTTAGGTTTCCACTCAAGTACAAGTATATTAAGAATCCAATGAAAAGTGTTAAGAGTAAAATGACTAAACCATTTTTGTCAAATGCGTTAGCAGCAGAATCTTTCAATGATTCTAAGAATGATTTTTCCTCTTCTTCTTCTTCATCCTCTTTTTTTTCACATTCGCCACTTATACTTTCTTCCTCATCACTACTGGATGCACCCATAAAACCGTTAAAAAATCCTTTAACAGATTTTGCCCCTTTACTAGCCAAGGATTCTAATGAGCTTCCTACTGATGACTCATCATCTTCAATTAATGGAATAACTTCATCCATGCTTTTGGTTGGATTTTTAAAGTTAACATCGAAAGAATTATAATGATCTCCCATTTTTAATTAATTTGGAAATATATATATATATATAAATATATAGTTCAGGTTATTATAAAAATGTTAGTAAATCAGAAAATAACTTCACTATAAAGATATATATAGTTTCGTTTCTTCTCTATCCGTGTTTATTTATACAGTACAATTATGATTATTTCTTTTTTTAATAATGAATGAAAGTCCCTTTTTTTCTTTTTTTTTTTTAATTTCTTAAAAAAATTTGTATCAAAAAATTAATTATTTTTTTAAAAAATAAATATTTAAATTCAACAATATGTATAAATTAGCAGTATCTCTCGCATGGGATAATGAATAGTAAAATCCTCTTAATAATTAAATAATAAACTTTTAATATAAAATTATTTAAATTATGAAAAGTGTTTTCAAAAAAAAAAAAAAATAAAATAAATATAAAGGAATTTTAATTAAAAAAAATAAACTTTTTAAAAATATAAAATAACGGTGTATTTTTTTTTTTTATAAAAAAGTAACAAGATTCTATAATTATAAAACTTTTAATTAAATTGCAACATTTTAGAATACTGTTTTTTTTTTTTTTTTTTTAATATTAAAAAAAAATATTTCGTGATTTTTTCAAATAATATTTTTCGGAGTTACTTATTTTTTTTTAATTCAAATTGTGCTTTTTTATAAAAATGATAAAAAAATAAAAATATTGGTTTTAACTATTTTTACATATGAAATTAATTAAATACTTTTAAATTTATTTTATTTTGTTATTAAAAAACGGAAAAATGAAAGTGCATGTAAAATAAGAATAAAATAATTCATGCAAAATAGATTAGTATGCAGAGGAAAAGAAAGGGGGAGAGGATACTCTTTTTTTTAAAAAAAAAAAAAAAAAAAAGATATATACTTCTAAGAATGCCTGTTGTTTAATTTTATTTTTAAATTATAATATACTAGTATCCGTAGTTTTAGAATATAGAAGTGCGCATCACAAGATAAATGAATATATATATCTATTCTTTTTTTCTCACCTATATTTTTACCTTTTCGTAAATGTTCTTGATAAAATAATTCTACCAAAGGGCTCATTAACCTTACGATATTAACGTTCTACGTACAATTAAAGCGCATATAAAAATATTATAGATTCTTCAAAAAAAAAAAAAAAAAAAAAAGCAATAAAGGATGTAGTAATATAAATTCGGTTGGGTGGGAAAGGTTATAATGAATAATTCCTTCAACCTTTTGAATCACTGTGCCGTGTATTATTTATGCACCTAAATATGAAATTTTTTCATCCCATGTGAGCATATATATATATATATATAGATATCCATTTAATAATTATTTATTACTTTTTATTTCATCTCTTTTTCCATTTTCTTGAATAAAAAAGGAATGGCCTGTAATAAATTTTTGCTTCTTTATAAAAAAAAAAATATATAAATTAAATTATCACGTTGCATATATAATTATTATTTTTACTTTTCAGCCCTTTTATTATGTACTGCAAAATAAATAAATGGTATTATCTCTCTCACTTTTGTAGTATAATTTGATAATTTTATTAAATATCAGTAGAATATGAATTATACAACTTAATGAACTGCTTGCCTATTTTTTATTACTCCCTCGTGGAGCCCCATAAAAAAATGTTTATAAAAGTAGTTTTTCTAAAATTATATATACATATATATATACTCTTTTTTTGTCTTTTTTTCTTTCCTTTTTTGTTTTTTTTTTTTTTTGTCATTGAGAGGAATTTTTTTGTTTCTCCAGTAGAAATTATGCAATAATAAATAAAAAGATACTTTTTAAAGATCTGGCACAGAACACCATTATTATGCATTTGCCAATATATTTAAAAATAATAATAAATTGTGATTTAAGAAAAATACAATGAAATTCTAAAAATCAATAAATTATTCAATTAAACGCATTATCCTTAGATCAATAAGTCATCATGCGTGCTTAATTTTTAGCTACCCATGTGGAATTAGCAAATGGTTATAAACGTATGAACCACATACATGTATGTGAAAGTTCGTTTTCATTTTGTAATGTCTAAATATTTATATATAATGGATAAATATATAAGGAATAAAAATTATTAAGCAAAAAGAAATTAATTAAAAAAAGTATCAATAATACGGTAGTTAATTAGCATAAATTTTCTCATAGATATGTTTTTGCCAATTAGGAATTTATATGTTCGTAGTTTAATCATTTGAAAGATCTAATTTTTCTATTTTTTATTTATTTATTTGTTCGCCATTACTGCTCTATCGTTATGTTAAACGTTCGTAAATCCCAATCTCTATCTCTATCATATTGTCTTTATTTCCATTTTTGTTCCTTCTTTTTTATTTTTGCCTTTTTTTTTTTTTTTTTGGTATTGTATGTATCTTTATAGACGATGTAAATTAATTATGTGTAATACTTTGAGATTACATATGATGTTTACATTTGTATGCATAATATGATTTAGTGTATATATTTTTTTTATTTCTTCGTTACAAAACTTTTAAAAAATAACATTCATAGCCGAATTACTCTGTTTTACAAATAAATTTTAATTAAAAAAAAATGGGTTCCTTCAATTTAATGGTGTATATAATGATGATATATATTTTTTTATTTTCCAATTATTATTTTCATTTGTAATGTGTTCAGCTGACTTATGTAAAAATCAATAGACATTTTATTTTTATAAAATTGTGGGGCTGCTCTCCATGGATACACAACTTTTGAAAAATATGTCAATGTGACAACACTGTAATTTTGGGTGTCCAATTGTCTTATTATTCTGTCTTAGGGTTGTTGTATACTCATTTAGCATATTTAAATAGATTATCAATTTTTTTAATTGTTTTTAATAATTTTCCATTTGTGGCTATTAATTAATTCTTGCATTTATTAACATATGAACCACGGCAATAAATATCAACCGTTAGTAGTAGCTTCTTATATAATGAAATAATTTTGTATGAAAAAAATTTTTTTTTTTTTTAATTTTTATTGTTTGAAGTATTTTGTTTTCCTCATTCACAAATTAGAAGTAAATGTGTGTATCATTTGTGGCATTATGGGGGTGCTAGGATGTTTTTTAAAAATTCCTATTTTTTAAATATTCCTATTTTTTAAATATTCCTATTCTTTAAATATTCCTACTTTTTAAATATACCTATTTTTTTAAATATACCTATTTTTTAAATATTCCTACTTTTTAAATATACCTATTTTTTTAAATAAATCTTTACAAAGTGAGTCACGGAACTTTCAAGTCGTTACAACCATCACACCTCTTTAGTTTGCAGCACGTTATACGTACACATATGTGTGAAAATTGCCACATTATGAATTACTAAGAAACAGCAAAAGAATAAATCAATCTAGTAAATATATTTTGCATGTTTTTATTACTAATCCTATGAAAATTTTTAAGCAAAACTATGCATACCTGTTTTATAAAAATTTAATTTCCCTCATCTATTGCGAACTATTAACATCCTAGGCAAAACTGCATGATTTTTCGTTATTCACTTGATTTTCAATTTTAGCAGATTAAAGCAAGAAGGCGAAGAACTTATTGCATACATGCAATCATTTTTATTTTTTTTACCATTAGAACCTCTTTTCACAAAGATATACTATTTAAATAAAACATTTCATCATTTACTGGTTTCAAAGAATGCATTAAAAAAAATATCACCACAATGTATTAAACATTTTACACTATTATGTTTCTTAGTGGAAAGTTTAAATACTAAATCTTTCAATAGGAGTATTTTTTTTAAGACTATACATATATAGGTTAAACTAATTTAGAGTTTTCTCTCCTCTCCGGTTTCCTTTTTTTATCATGTACAAAAATTATGAACATAATTTTATTTATCCTTATTCAGTACAAAATGGTCATATGTATTATACATGCATTTGTGAATTATTTACTCCCCAAGCATATTTCATTATTATCATATATATTCCAACCGTTCCTTCTTTTTCTCATAAATGATTGTATCTACAATAACCTAATTGTGCTACACACATATACATTTATCATAAGACTTAAGCAAACTACAACATTAATTAAGAAAACACTAAAAAATGTTGAATGTGTTTGAAATTGTTTTCTTTTAAAAAATAACTAGGAACACATAGAAAAGTGAAATTCCCGATTTTGTGTAAATAATCACATCTCTCTACTATGCCAAAAAAAAAAAAAAAAAAGTAGCCTAAATATATATTGACAAAATGTTCAGTAACCCACTTATCACTATAGTTGAACTAATGTGAGTTCAAAAAAAAATAAATACTAATGTGCAGGAAATTTAACTGCCTTTATAAAAAAAGTGCTCATTTTATATTTTTAGATTATTTGGTGAAAAATACATGCAAAAAGACAGCAGCATACAAGTAGCGTTGCTAAAATATGTACTCTTGTTCATACATTGTTTAGTTTAAAATGCAATAAGAAAAATTCATTAAATGGGGAAATAATATATTCCCATTTAACAAAATCGCTCAATGTTGAAAATTTTCGTTCTTTTCAGATCATTCATCCAAAAAGAAAATGGAAAAAAAAATATGTTTTGTGTACAAAGGAGTGCATAAACAACTATGCGCTTAAATATTTGCAAATTTGTAACCCTTAAGACATGAAAAAATTAACTGAAATATTACTAAAAATTGATATCCTTTACATATATATATATATGTCAATAATTAAAAAGCACAACTTCAATTTTCGTTTGAAATAAACTTTACGCAGAAAACAAAATTGTAAACTGCCAAAGTATTTCACGTAAATTTATTCAAACTCCAAATCAATTAAAAAAAAAAAAAAAAAAAACACATTTTTTAAAAAAGTGGAACAAAAATAAAAGTTGTTCTCTTCCTATATTTTAATTTTACAATTCTTATTAGGCATAACAAAATGGTAGCTGTATAAAATGGATGCTCATAAATTTTTACATATTTTATTTCTGTCATATAACAGTATAGCGTTCATATCCTTACGATAAAGAATA